GGTGGGACTTTGCTGTCTGTGACTCCCAGCAGATGTCCGGGTAGTTTAGGTCCCCCATGACTACCGCCTCTTTAGCTTTTATGGTCTCCGAGAGTTGCCTCAGGAGCCCCGAATCTCTTTCTTCCCCTTGATCTAGGCTGACCTGGACAGGCTTAGTAAATGGGCAGATGAGAACCCAATGGTGTTTAACACTGAAAAATGCAAGGTTCTCCACCTTGGGAGGAAAAACCTGCAGCATCCTTATAGGCTCAGCAGTGCCACACTGGCTAGCGCTATGAAAGAAAGAGACTTGGGGGTCATCATTGACCACAAGATGAACATGAGCCTTCAATGCGATGCTGCAGCTAGTAAAGCGACCAAAATGCTGGCTTGCATCCATAGATGCTTCTCAAGCAAATCCCGGGACGTCATTCTCCCCCCGTACTCGGCCTTAGTGACATATGGAGAAGCTTGAGAGAGTCCAGAGAAGAGCCACGCGCATGATCAGAGGTCAGGAAAACAGACCTTACTACGACAGGCTGAGATCTACGAGGCTCTTTAGCTTGGAAAAGCGCAGGCTCAGGGGTCATCTGATGGCCACCTATAAGTTTATCAGGGGTGACCACCAGTATCTGGGGAAATGTTTGTTCACCAGCGCCCCAAGGGATGATGAGGTCGAATGGTTACAAACTACTGCAAGACCGTTTTAGGCTGGACATAAGGAAGAATTTCTTTACTGTCTGAACCCCCAAGGTCTGGAATAGCCTGCCATCAGAGGTGGTTCAAGCACCTACATTGAACATCTTCAAGAAAAAATTGGATGCTTATCTTGGTGGGATCCTATGACCCAAGCTGATTTTCTGCCTTCAAGTGGGGGGCTAGACTCAATCTTCTGAGGTCCCTTCCAGCCCTAATGTCTATGAAATCTACCCCCCTCACTGTCTAACCTCTGCATTCTTTGCCCCCACCATCTCCCCCATCCCATAGCCTTTGCTCCCTATACTCCCCCCTCTCTGCTGCTTACCGACAGCTCCAGCACATCTCCAGCTCTGCTCCAACCTATGGAACAAATCTTGTACTTTCTCCAGGCCCAATCACAGTGTTAATAGATGCTGTGGCAGCAGCGGCTCCATCCAGACCCTGAAGCCTGTGCTAGAGCTTTTACCACCACTACTGCTACCATACCAGGCTTGGATGGGAACTACTATGTTCTCTGTGCCCCAGAGAACTACTCCAGTGCACACCAGGGGGAAAGGCAGGAGCTGAAAGTGCAGGCAATGGGGGTGGGGTAGTATCAGGGGGCAGGGAAGGCAGGTGCCAGAGGCACAGGTAGTGGGAGGCAAGCGGTGGGGTCCAGCAGCCTGACCCTTGCCCATTTACAACTTTCCCCCTAGTACCTCCCCGCACCTGATACCCTACTTTCTCCTTTACCCCACTTGCTCCCCCACTGCTTGCCCCATCCAACCATCTCCCCCACAACTGCACCCCTGCCATTGCTTCCCCTGTTGCAGTGGGGGTGGGGAGGGGAGAGACAGGATATGGACAAGTAGAAGGTGATTCTCTAAGAATTAGATTCTGTACATGAAAATTATAACAAATTAATAAAATTGTCTATGTACATGATCTAATTTTGGGGGGGCTGTCTTAAGTTCAGAGTCATCTTGGATTCAGATAAATATGGTACCTTGCTCAATACTGGATGTGTCTATATGTACAACTAATGTGAAGCAATAAACTCCAGAGCAGTTTGAACTGAAATAAACTACTCCCAGACACAGTGTCTACACATGCACCCAGGATAGCAGCAGTTTGAGCCATGACGTGGCAGGCCTAGGCTGACAGAGAACATGGGGGGAGTGGGGGAGGTTACATCCATCTGCAGGTTACAGGTCTTTCCACAGGGGAGAACAGGCTGCAATTCCTTTCCTTTTCCTTTCTCCGCTTTCTATTCTCCGTTTCAAGGGCAAGATGCTTTACCTCAAAGTGAACTGCTGCTTGGTTGAGTTTGTGCCACAGTTGGCACCCAGCTTCTCCCAAACCCTTGATGTTCACATCTGTTTTCTTGTGGCATGCCTTCGTGTTCTTGTAGCATTGTCTCTGACCACCACAAGACCTCAAGCCATTACTATATTGGGAGTAGAGCACTTGTTTGGAAGTTGAAAGTCAGGCATCTGCACACAATGTCTCATCCATAGAAGTTGGTACTTGAGGATCACCAACTCAGCGGTGGTAACACTGGCTTCAGCAAGGATGCTGGTGCTTGTGCAGTGATCTTCCCATGTGATGTGGAGGATTTTCCAAAGGCAGCGTTGGTGATACCTCTCCAGGCTCTTAGGATGACAGTAGGTGACCCATGTTTCATATCAATGGAGTGGGAATGATAACTTCATTGTAGAACTGGATCTTGGGTGTCTTCTAGAGATCATGATGAATGAAGTATAATTGGCTCCTCTACCAGGATGGCCACAATGCCTCCTAGGGCCCCTACGGGCCACCTATACCCATTCTCTTACTCCAGGTCCCCCCATAAGGCGGCCTCCTCCTCTCTCTCCTGCCATACCTTGATGACAAAAGTTAACAGATTTGGGAGGCTGTCTTCAGATACCCAAAATTTAGCTTTCAGTGCTTTGTCCTGCCCTACATCATTAGGCTGCCAGTCAGCTCATCCTCACAACTTAACTGGAGCAGGGCTCTCACTCTTGACTGGGGCTCCCCTGGCCTTGTCTCTTTTCACTTGTTTGGATCTGCTGGACCTTCTAGGCTTCAGCCTCTTTCCTTAGGCTTAAGCCCCAGCTGTCCACTGGGTCCCAGATCCTGACAGGACTCTGTCTGGGTCTTTGCCCCTCACAATATGGAATGTCTCTGAGGCACTCCCCCTATGACTTGTTTCTTCTCTGGTCACCCTGTTCAGGCACTGGCCCCTCAGCGCCAGCTTTGCCTATCTCCGGACATTGGCTCCTTGGCTTTAGGCACAGGCTCCTCTAGGTTTTCTCCCAGTGCCAGTCCCAGACTGGCTACCTTTTGGAGCACCAGATTCTCTAGGCCTCCTCCTCCTGCTAGCCCCAGACTGGCCACCCTTTGTGGTACCTGCCCCTCTAGGCCTTGCTCATGACCATCTCAGTCAAGCTGCCCTTTGGATCATGCCTGAGCCTTAGCTCTCTTGATCTTAGCCTGGCTCACTCCCCCTGCCCCTCTGCAGGGCTTAAAACCGACAATGTCTTAGGCACCCTGCTATGTGTCCTCTTATTTCTCTACAGCCACTATCCGGTCTTCCACTGTAACAGACCCCCAAACTGCAACAGAAACAAAACATACAATTTATCTCCCCATATGCCATGCCTGCAGAGCTCCTTCACTTGTAATGATCTGATCCTTGGGCTCCAGGCTCAGGTTTATATGGCTCTTTCACCTCCCTCTTCCATTCACCTGACCTGGCTTGCTGTCAATAAGGCCCAGGTGCTCCTCATCCCTTCTTCAGCAGCTAAGTGTTCTGCTGCCTGAAATTTGCAGTCTGATTCCTGTAGCCCTCTTAACTTGGCTCCTTATAAGCTGCATTTGATTTGCAACCCTGTCCTTACTTCCTCCATATAGCAGGGGGAAGGGGTACAATTCAACAAAAGTGACGATTCAAAGCCCTTCCTTTTATATTTTGAAGGATTTCTTCTTGGACTGAGAAGGTCTAAACTGAACTTCCTGTTATTTGTAATATTATAAAGCCTACTGCAAAAAGTAGTTTTGTGGATCCAAAATATCTCTAGATATTCTTCTCTCTTTTTGTATTTAAATCAGAGAAATTTATGATACTGAATGTATCTTAAATTTTAGATCTATAATATAGACTTTAGAAGCAGTTACAAAGTGTTTCCAGTGTTTTTTACTGCATTTGATCAGTGAAATGGAGTTTAGACAAGCATCTATTTTTGTTTTCTGGCTTTATCCATTAATCTTCACACTGGAGAGCACACCCATATTTACAGTGAACAGAATAAACTAAGGAACAAACTGTTAAAAGAAACCAAGACTGGTTATATCTAAACTGCTAGGACTACACTGAGAATGAATCTACTTTAAATCAAAGGTATTGCAATTATACTTTTTATTCATCATATTTTTCTTGTCATATTGAAAAAAAATTCTTTGTTATTCTGAGGATACTTATCTAATGACTAATTTAGTTAAAGGAGGCTGTTATAATCAGTGGAGTTAAGGTCTAATTCTAGGTTTCCTAACGCTTTCTATTATAACTTTCTATTTTCAGTTTTGTTTCTCTATAATCTCCTACATAGGAAACACAGAACTAGATCTCTGGACAAACCAAAGGCAAAACAAATCCTTTTGGTGCTCTTTTCTCCCCAGTAAAACACAGTCCATTCTCAGTTATCTGAACAGTTTTGGAAAGTGCCTACCAAAAAGCCATTCAAATATCTAAAAACATTCAGATAAGTGGAACCACAGTATCTTATGGACAATTGTGTGAGAAAACACATGGTGCATAATGTAAAGCAATACCATACTTAACAGTACATGTATTAAATAAAGTAAAACTTAAAAGAGAACAGATTGTTAAGACGTTTAAAATACCAACAGTTACAAGTTACTGAATCAAATTTAAGAGTAGAGAGAGTACTGTATTAAATAAAAGTTAAAATGAGAAGAGTGTGTGATAAACTACTCAAGCTACTGTTGAAGACAAGATACTGAGGTAAACGAACCATTGGTCTGACCCAGTTTAATACTTCATATGTTTTTATGTTCATCAGAAACAAACATCATCATGTGCATAAAAACAGATATACTGTATGCTTAATGCAAGTACCTGTCAAAGTAACCCTTATTACTAAAGATGGTTCTACATGTTTATACATACCCAGATTGTCTTTTGAGAGGATGTCATCTGAGCCAATTGTTTCAAGAGAGCATCTTAACATTTTTTTCCTAGAAAAAGATTTTGACCAATTGTTGTTTACCATCAAGTCAGTGATGATACATGATTAAAAGACATTTTGTAACATGCTATTACCCATAAAAGTTTTTCCTAGCTTCTTTTTTGCAAGAGATAATTGCTAGATATTTATTTCTGCAAAACAATCTCTCTAACATATGTCCATTTAGTAATATTCCTACAAACAAGTCTATGCTTACTCTGCAGCAGTGGATCATTTAACAACAGTGATGTGGTTGCATAGTTTGGACCAGTAGTAAGAAGACATTTCTTGTAAGTAGGGACCTACCAAAACCATGATTTTGGCATTTTTCACAAAAACCTCAAAATCAGGCATTTTCCAAAAAAAACCCAAACAAACAAACAAACAAACAAAACCAGAGGGCTCCGCAATTTTGGTGGGCTCACTGCAGGAAAAAAAACAACTTACCAGCAAGCAGAGAAAAGGGTGGGAAGCCCTTCAATTTTGAAGCAAAGGTGGAGGGCTGGGGGAAGCAAATTAGAGGCTGAGCCTGTGACAAGCTCAGTGCAAGTGCCAGTCTGAGGCTACTTAGGGAAGTGACAAAGTTTAACACCATCTTTTAAGGAACCAAAGGCACGCTGTTGCAGTATGCTGTAGCCCCAGGAGGAATGAGCAGGAATTAACAGTGAAAAGAAATCCTCCAAGAGAGCCAAATACATTTCAGCTCTGGACCATGCAAGGAAATATCCTGCAGGAACCATGAATGTGGATGGAGGTAGACTGTTCTGTACTGCCTACAACCTGACTCTGGATGTGTTGACGAAGATTAATTTAGATTCTGAGGCGCACACAAAGCAAAAGCCTACTGAAGAGGCTAAAGACCAGAACAAGAAACAAGCAACTGTGTCCTCACTCTTTAAAGGTCCATGGCAAGCAGCTTGGCAAAGTGAGGGGAGGTATTTTCCCTTGTGGATGCCTTCATTGCAGTGAACATCCCACTACAGAAACTTGATCACCCTATGTTAAGGGACTACCTGAACCAAAATTTGCCAAATGCTGGCAGTTTTCCATGTGCCAACAAGCTTTGCCAAAACTATCTCCCCGCAGTGATTGCTTTGCACATACTCTGTCAATGCAAACTTGCGGACTGTATGAATCCTTCTCCATGGTGACTGATGAAGCCACCAACACTCAAGATAACTATGTGCTTTGTATGTTATTTATACCTGGGAGCTGGAAAGACTGGGACCAACCTGTTTTTCAAACAGAGCTGGTCCACCTCATGTCTGTCAACTTTTTTACCATGACTGCAGCAGTTGTGAACTATGGCTTAGAATTTAACAAGATCTCAACATTTCTGTCCAACAACACCATGTACAGATTGAAGGCTCTCTCTGATGTGCTCCAAGGAATGCTGCCCAACATTCTATCTTCAGTAAGTGACATCTGGCACATGCAGTTCCCTGATGTGGATAGTCTGGTGTCCTCCTTCAAGATGGCCTTCAAGCATTGTCCAGGCCATAAGCTCTGGTACAAGGAATCCCTTACCAGCCAAAGTGGGGACTCGCATGCAACTGTGTTGTTGCCACCAGAGCCTGTGCCCACAAGGTGAAATTTGTGGTTCAACACATTACGTTATTATGCCAAGTACATGCAGTACTACCAGCAGTTTGTGAGTGAGGAGTTGGAAATCACACCTGGCACACAGTGAATGCTTAAGCTTTGTGATCTCCTGGAACAGGGAGACATTCAAGATCAAGTGAAGTTTGTGGCTGAAAATGCCATCCGGTTAATGGTGCTTCTAACGTGGTTTGAAGGCTGGCAGGCTGTGATCTACCCCACACACAAGATGATGGATTTGATAACTTGGGTCAAAGACAGCATCACAAGAACTGTCAAAATGTCAGCATGACAACCAGTGGGGACCAGAACTGTTCCAGGCAATACTACAGGTACTGTCACCATGGTTCTGACAACTATCTACCTCTTTCCTTAGTGCTGTTTGCATTTTGGACCCCAACCAGGTGCCTGTTCTGAGTTGTGACCCTCAGCTACTGAAATCAATCTCTGGATGACAGAAAGAGCATGACGAGGAATGTGCTGCTTATGTGAACTTTGTCAGAGTTCCAGGTGCCTGTGCCTTTGCCTGTGTTTTGAGACTCTGTTTGCATAGGCAGCAGCAGGCCAGGGCTAATGAGGCTTAGCCCTAGCCCCAAACTTTACGTGGCATCTGGAGACCGCAGCAGCAGCACAATGCCACCATACCACAGTGCATGCCGCTTGGTGTGCAGCTGCTCCTCCACTGCTGTGTACAGGACTAGCATGCACTGGCCCTGCAATGGCCATTGGGGAGGGAGGATTGGGGGTCAGGCAGGGCTCAGACCCCCCCAAATAATATTTCCCCCCACCACTTATGTCTGCTTGTGACAAGTTTCCATATCTGTATACCCTGGCAAAGTGCTGCCTCACCATTCCAATGAACTCAGTGGATGCTGAGCATGCCATCTCAGTGTACAGACAAGTGTACACCCTGCAGTAACAGGGAATGTCAGCAGCGACTGCCACTGGATTCTGCATGCTAGCATTTAACAGCTAGCATGAATTGCCTGTCTCAAGGTTGGCATCGAGTAAACTCCTTTTTACAACATCATTTAATAAAGTATAGTAATGGTATTAGTTACAATTTGTGTTGTGTACAGCTTTAGTTTCATAAGACATTTCAGTTTGGAATTTAATTCGGTGCTTAGATTGCTTAATAATCTTTCAATTAATGACTTCTGCGGGCTTAGTCAGGGTAATAAAGTTGTGGTCTTGGGCCATCCACCAATCTGCAGGGAGGGATGGGACAACCAGGCCTCCTTGGCCAATCTGAGATGTGGGAGGGCCTGCTGCGATAAGGTTGTGAAAATGGCAGTCAGCCCCACAATCTGCCCACAAAATCAGCCACCTGCCTCCTTGATTTGGGTAAGTCCCTACTTATAAGAAACAATTTTTACATAGACAATAAAGCAGATTTTCTTTTTTGTTCTCTCTCAGCTGTTTTGCAAGCTATATTTAGGTAATTATATATCTAAGTACCTTACTGCACCCACAAATCAGGTGTTACAATGTCTCAATCACCAAAATTGTTCCTCAGAACAAATGAACTGCATCTGCTCCTAGTTGCTTTGGAAAAAGTTCTGGAACAAAAGTTAAATCTTGAAGACCAGATGAGAAAATGAACCAATTAGCACTAACAGTAAATTATTCAGCAATATAAATAGCTGTGAATTTGTGAAGGGAAAGGCAGGTATGTAGCAGTGAAAGGAGATTCAAATCATGATTAACAATGTTTCTCATATCTCATTATTTTTCAAGAATTCCCCAGTAGTCACGTACACCCTGCTTTCTACATCTTTCAATCAAGATTTCATGTTGTAGCAGCCTTCTTTCTGACTGACCAAAGAGGACTCAGTTGGAGTGCTTTGGTATCATTATTGAGGGATGTTTGTAGGCCAACATCAGGTCTGTACGTGTTGTTGTCCAACCCCCTCTAATATCCACACTCAAAGTGTACCCTCATACATATACGCCAACCTAGAGATATACACTGTAGTGCAGACCTACCCAATAAAAGCTCCAGCACCCTCAGTCTAAGGAACGATAAATGCAGCTTCTTGTAATTGTGTGATGTGCTAGATAATACTGTACTAACAAGAGAAGGGAACTAATTAAGTTACACAGTAAAAATGTAAAGAGAAAACAAATTCAAAACTTACTTTTTCTTTTGTCCAATTCCACAGGTACTTCTCTTACCAACTTGCTTATTCTGAGAAAAATGTATATATAAATCTTGGTTTATGAGTGGCAAAGTGTTGGAACTTGTTATTTTTCTGCTATGTATTAGTAAATTTCATAATGAAATCATTTTAATGGCAGACAAATTTAACTTAGAAATATAAAATCTTTTCAAAACTTCTTTAGGGATCTTAAGTAGATTCATACTTCTATAGGGACACTAAGGGCAGAATCCTAGTTCATGTTACATACCCAAATAGCAGTTTATGATGGTCATTTTTGGCATCTACAGAGTTTGTGATCCTATTCCATGTACAGCGTAGACTCATAAGCATCTACACAGTTACTGAGCATGTGTAGTAGGCCAAGCTCTGGCCTGGCAGATGTGATTGCATGCGAACTAAGTCATACTTGGCAGAAAACCATGACTAGTGGGTAGGAGACACTGAACAAAGGGGACACTCCTACATTTTAGTCCCATAAGCTGACTGGTTAAGGCATTTACCTAGTAAACAAGAGACCCAGATTAGACCCTACTCACCAAGAAAAGGTTTAAACCTGTAATTTTGCTAGCACCATGCTCCAGACCCCAAGCCACTGGTTAAGCAGTGGAGAGAGGGAAATATCTGGGACCAAGAAGAAGCAAGCAATATAGACGACATGTGGGTCAGTAAGATGGTTGGTACTCTGGATGGCAAGATAGCCTAGGTCCTAGATGGGCCTTTGCTCCCAATAGGGTAGGAGCTTGAAAAGGAGGGCTAGAAATGGGACTGGATAATTCCTCACGTATGGCCTGGTGGTTAAGAACATTGTGCTGGGAATTTGGAGAGATGGTAGCTCAAATCCCCTCTGAGTAAGGAGGACCTAAAACCTGAGTCTTCTGCATCCTGGGCAAGTACCCTAAAACCACCAAGCTATTGATCTAAAAGAGTGGTGCTCAACCTTTTGGTCCTACGGGCCAGATAAGTGGCATGGGGCATTTCTGTGGGTTGGAACAGGTTCTGGGGCCCAGCATCATGCACCAGGATTGGGCCCTGAGGCCCATTGCCACCCCTTTCCTGCCAGGATTGGGTCCTAGGGGTCTAGCACTGCACCCTCATGCCCCATACTGGGATTGGGCCCTGAAGCCTGGCACCACCCCATATGGCCATACATGCTGTGGTTGGGTGCTGGATCTGGATCCAGCAAAAAGGGCCTGAAGATTTGGCAGCAGGGGCATGGTGGCACCACTCCCCCACTACCAAATTTCCAGACCCATGGAGAGTCCCACAGGCTGGATTACACAGGGCTGTAGGCCAGATCGTACTCCACTAAGCAAGCATGTAGGTATGTAAGATGATTCTATCCCAGAAGAGTGTGAAACAGGTTCTGAAACTGTGTACATGTCAAAAATGACATGTATACAACGAGGTAACTGTCATTTAGTACGTAAAGTGAAATAGGATTCTGCCTTAGTGACTACTGTAATTCAATAATAATGTGCTCTTTTTAACTTATCAGAATTTTGTAAACGAGCACATGTTGAAGTAATGATGCTAAAATTACTTTAATGCTTTCCATAACAGGCACATAACAACATATTCTGAAGCAGCAGTAGTATTTAGTGATGAATAGTTTGGGTTAATATACAAAACAACACCAACCAAAATATAAACATAGCTTTTCATGTCAGTGGTTTGATAACATGCTAAATCTAAAATCCTCCTGTGTTTTATGAATACCATATTTACTTGAATATAAGACAACCCTGAATATAAGACAGTCCACCAATAATTATATTCTATATATGGAAAATGTATAAATTTGTTATAATGTTCCAGGTATAGAATCTTATTATTGGAAGTTTTCCTTGAATTTGTCCCCTTCCCACTGCTACAGCAGGGAAAATAAATCTGGGTGGTCAGGTGGCCCCCTTGCGCTCTGCCCTCCTAACTTCTTTCCTCTGAAGCCACTTCCCCTCCCCTTACTATCAGATCCTGCTCTCCCTGAGCACGTGGAAGTGAGGGGCAAATTTGAAAACACTAAACTGGAAATAAACTTACCTGTAAAAATTTGTATATAGTACCAATAGACCCAATCATCAAGAACTGGTGCATTTTCCCTTTTTTCAAACTGCTGCAAGTTTTAGCACAGGTATCCCACAAATACACCTCTAAGCAGCACTTGTATACCTAACTTATATACATTTCAAACTTAAAAAAAAAAAAATTATTTCTCTACATATAAATATATATAAATACACGTACAACACACACACACCCCTATGCCTCTGCAGACCTATCTCCTGACCACTATTAATATTCTAAAACACACATTTACAGTTAAATCATCCTTATTCCCATTACAATGACAGTACTGTGCACCCGCACTCCCTACACACCCATGTGTCCACTGTCACAATCACACTTTTAAGCAGCACTTTTGGACCTACTTATATATAGTATAAACTGGGTGTGTCTACTTTACAGCACGTAATCTAATGCCCAGTAAAGCATTACCATGTACACAGCAATTATTGTGCAGTAGATTAGTCCAACGCCCTAATTTTCTAGTACTTGTAGAAACAGATACTAGAAATGGACACATTAAACTAATGTGCCAAAGCACACCTGTAGATGCTGACCGGAAGCAAATTGCTCCCAGTCAGCCTAGGCAGCAGTGGGCCACAGGGGGTGGGGAGAGCAGTCCCCACCCAGTAGGACACTTCCTACCAGTCCTGTGGAGATTGGGACCATCCCAATTTCCATATGGCCGGGACAGCTGCTGCCAGGCAGGTGTCTCCCAGCCCCATGGAGATTGGGACCATCCTGACCGCCACATGGCTGAGAGGGCTGTCCTGGCTGTGGGGAAGCTGCCTCTGAGCCATGTGGAGATCAGGACCCATCCCAATCTCCATAGAGAAGGGAGGCAATTACCCAGCAGTTGGGACATCTCTCTCACCCATGTGCAGCCCTCCTTTCACACCCTGCCTTGCCCCGCTTCCGGGGTTGGGTACTCAGTTCACAGGGTCTCTTCCACATTGTCGCTCCAGCTTTCGCTAGAGGACCCACTGCTGCTGCTGTTGTCGCTGTCCTCCATTCCACTCGTCTGTTCCTCTTCTCCTCTGCTGTCACTCTCTTCTTCATTCGGTGGGGGTTGTATGGTTCTGTGCCACGTGTCCCTGTGCCAGGTGGTGTTCACTGCATCTTCTCCATCCTCTGCTACCGATTTCTGGTAATAGGTCCAGAGTTCGCTCAGCGTCATCTTCACACAGCCCACTACTTCTACATCCATTTGTCTGTATAGGAGCAGGCTTCTGGCCTTCCACAAGGCACTCCTGACACGGGATACAAACTGGTCAAAATGGAGCAAGGGGCTCCCCTGGTGTTTGGCGACGTGCCCGTACAGCGCAGCCTCACTGGTTAGCCAGCTGACACCAGTCACCACTTCGCAGAGCTGCTGTACCCTCTTCCATACCTCCTTGGCACAGGTGCAGAGCCACAGGAGCTGTTCTATTGTCTTGGTGGCCCCGTGGCAGTTGGGCCACGGGCAGCTGGGTCTCCCCAACTGCCCCTCTCTATGTCTCCGGGCCCTCACCGGGAGAACTTGGTGAGCTATAAGCCAGTTTAGGTCCCTGTGATCTTTGCACTGTTCCTTGCAGTGGATGCGCTCCCACATGGCTTGGCATGCATTGCCTGGGAGCAGGTCTATGGGTGACATGGTGTCCCTTAGTCTCACCATCTCCTGGATCTTCCTGAATCTTTTCATGGTCGCCAGGCCCGCGTTCCATAGGCCGTACACATCACAGCATTGGTTCAAGGTCTCGTAGAACCAGGGCGGTTCTGTGATCCATGGCCTGTGGTTAGTCAGGGTGAAGACCCCCCAGTGTCTCAGAATGTGTCCTGCAAAGTACCTCATAAGACACGCACTTTTGGTATCTCCCTCCGTTGCCAGCTTATAGATCGTGCTCCTGTACTTGGCCTACAGGAACAGGAGGATCTCTGGCATGTCCCTGCTCCTGGCCCTCTTGTCCTTGTGCAGAGTCTTCCAGGCAACCTTTTCCCATCTGGATCCCCAGAAGAAGATGCACATGGCCCTCTGGATCCTGCAGGCAACACGCTTAGAAGTGAGGAAGATCAGTGCAGTGTACAGAAGCACCACTAACACCACCACCTTCATGAGTGCGACACGTCCCACCATGGAGAGGGAATGCAAGTGCCACAGCCCCAGTTTCTGTTTTACCTTAGCCATGTTCACTACACATGATATTAGTCCAAAGCCAAAAGGCTCACGATATTGATTTTTATTAGATGTTTAGGATTGTGAATCCAAAAAAGATGACAAAGCCGGTAGGGAAATACAGATCGCCCGAGCGAGGGACTAACAATAGAAGGATGGGGGTGAGGAGGGGAACGCAACTAGATTACAGGAGATACAATGTTAGCCAACTAAGTCCGGGGGTGGGGGGAAGGGAAGGGGAGGGAGGGGGTTGGCGACGCTGAGAGAGAAAGAAGATAGATACACACAAACCCGTTACAATGGTCTGCAATGGTGGTGGAAATTGTTTGAAGACAGTGTCTCAGTCCATATAGAGTCTCATTGCGGCGGTCCTCTTCGGGTGGAGTGGGGTCGTCCGTCATTGAAGAATCCTCTCGAAGTGAAGGTCCATCTGGTGCAGAGGGTAGGGTTCAGGCAGTCCCCTCTGGGTCCAGTCCGGCGGCGGCTTGTCTGGTGGGGTTGGAGTACTGGCAGTGGCCCATGAGGTGTTCCACATAGATGTTGCGGGACCAATGGATGGTGTCAGACACCATGAGGCAGTGCATGAGCTTGGCGTAGTGGCATGAGATGTGGCAGGCATGCAGGACGCTCTTGTTGCTGGGGTCCCAGGCTCCGAGCATTCCCATAATGAGCACGTCGACCATCACGTCATAGCCACAGCCCCTCAGGATGTCAGCCAGCATACTTCTCCCGCTTGTGAGCCCGGGCATCGGTGAAGGCTTGGCGCCGGTTCTCGAAGGGGATGGTTACGTCCATGATCACGACCTTCTTGGC